TCACTTTTTGTGACTGGGCTTCACATGTATTCTGGCATATTTTTTAACTGACTAGGATTTTATGATATAATTATGGTTTACTTAAAAAATCCATAAATTAATATAATCTATAAATTATAAAGGATCTATGCTGATACTGCATAAAGCTAAAAGTAATTTTTTCAAAGGTCAGAGTTTTTGAAAGATGCACCCATTTTCCCAGTGAGTTCATTCATTTGTCTTCCAGTAGTTCGTTTACTGTTTACTTCCTTAGCAAAGTTAATGAAATGTTTTCATAACCATATCTGTTCAAGAACCATGTGCTTGGACGGGGCACCTGGGTGGCTCAGCTGGCTGGGCGTCCGACTTCAGCTCAGGCCATGACCTCCTGATTCGTGGGTTCCGGCCCGCATCAGGCTCTGTGCTGACAGCTAGGGGCCTGGAGCCTGCCTTGGATTCTGTGTCTCCCTCTCTGCCCTCCCCACTTGTGCTCCCTCTCTCTCTCAAAAATAAATAAACATTAAAAAATTAAAAAAAGAAAGAACTATTTGTTTGGACAGATTTGGCTAAAGGTGCACAAGGAGGGTAAATTATGAACAGTATAATACTGTTATGTTGAAAACTTCATTCAAGGCATTTGAACTTTCTAGCTGCCTTCAAAAAAGAACAGTAACAATCTGACTACATATTCACTGAGAGACAGTTCAAAGGATCTGCGTTTAATTTTTATTCGGTTTCAGAAAAATTATTAGTCTGAACTAAATAAATAAATAGATGATGCCTAGATATCCTGTTTTTTTTTTTTTTCCAAAACCACAGCAATTGAAAAAAGAAACCAGCAGAAAAGCGATCCAAAGGCAAAAGGAAATTCTCCCAAGGCTTCCCATGCAAGAGCCTGCATGAGAAATTATAGTTATTTTTATTGCCAGGTAGTTTAGGTGACAATGTTTAATTTGGCCTGATTTGTAAGTTAATGGGTTATCTGATACCCTGGAGAGTACACTATAATCTTCCTAACCACTCCAGCGTCTTGACAACTCACTTCTTATAATATATTTACAAATAGACTAAAAAGAAAAAAAAAAAATAGGGATTTTTTTTTCCAAGTTAATGCTATCCCATGTGTTCAATTAAGGTAATGTAAATAAATAGTGTTTCCTATTAAAATTCTGTATTCTGGCAATGTATGGTATAGACATTATTCTACAGCAAAAGCATCTAGAAAATTTAGGCAATTACCTGAAAAATGTAGGTCAAACACTGATCAAATGGACTCACTTAACCCCGGTGTGTGAACTTTGAAGATGAGCACCGGGACATGATGATCACTACCCTCTTAAGCAATGTCTAA